ATACGCTGTTTAGTCTTCTGTGAATTAGATTCACAAGGCATCATTAAAGTATATTTTTGGGGCTTTCAAGTTAATATAATTTTGGGCCCTAGTAAGTTAGAAAGTGTGTATGAAGATAGTTCTGAGTCCTTCAGTCAAGGCAGCACCCCTTCAAGGCTCAATATCACTGGAGCTGTCCTTACAAAGAAAAAATATCATGTCTCTGTGCAAAGACTTGCCATTAATGACTCTTTCCTCTGACTTTTTGTACAGCTTCCGTCATGGATGTCCAATGTCTCCCTTTGCTCTGTGTTCCAAAAATAGCGTTTTTTTCTGACCTGGCCAGCTGGGGACCAGTTTATAGTTAGGGTTTGTGCAGAGCAAACCTGTCCTTTCTTCCTCTCACTGTCACATCTACAGCAAACTTCATCTGTTCACCTCCTGCAGCACCTCTTTACACTGTACTGGGAAGCTACGAATAGCAAGAGCAACAAATGCACCTTCTGCTTCTTGAAGAGTAAGGAGCAGAATGCCTTGGCATTCTTGGCTTCCTGCTCACCCCAACAAAGAGAACTTGGGGGTCATCCGTGGCCTCCAACAAGGTACTAACAGAACAGATATCATGACTGACAAACAGCTGAAATACCTGTTTTATTCTCCAGAGATTTATTGGTCTTGAGTCATACCATCATTTCTCAAATCTTAAAATCTCGTGGCTTGTGCAGAGGACAGCCCAAATCTGCAGGGAGGACCTTTGTGCCATGCTCTCAAGCACCTGGCTTTACTTTGACTTTCTGCTGCTGGTGTCATCAGCTTTGCAGATTCCTCCCCGTGTCTCTGTAACTGCTTGTGAAACTCTTCCCTTGCTTGCCAGTGGCAACCTTATGGATATTGGGCAGATGCACAGCCAGGGAAAGAGGGTGTGGGGGAGGCAGAGAGATCTCCTGATGCTTCTTTTCATGGCTTATCTCTTCTTGCTTCCTTTACTTCAGCTGCACCTTTCTGACACATGAGTTTTGGAGCCTGTGGATTTTCATATCCAGTTAGTTTTTATTTGTGTTACTAGGTAAACCTCAGCCCTGAAGAGCTTCCAGTTGCTGTCAGGTTTGTGCCAGGCAGGGTCACTTGCAGCTGCAGTTGCTTGTCTGTGTGTGTGATTTCACTGTTGTACTACCCAGCCCCTACTTCCACATACACACCCTTATCCACACGTACATACACACAGTCTCTTTGCAGAGACCTGCAGATATACCTGACACTATTTGCTGCTTCCCTCCACCTCTGTTTTCCTGTCAACAGTCCCCTTGCCTGCCTTGGGCGTCACTGTGTGAAGAGAGCAAATAATGACGCAGCAGTGGTTTTGGCTGATGGTTGATGTCAGCAGTGCCCTCATGCAACCTGGCTGGCTCTTGGTCTTCATGCTTGAAGCACAAAGAGTCCAGTCTGAGTAAGCTCTGAGCGAGATGGTTCACTTGTGACAGCTCACTACCTTCAGCTGGTGCGAGGGTGCATTGAACACAAACCAGAGAGTTCAGTCCCCTGTCCAAGAGATGTGCTCCTCTTGGTACAGTTATTAAAGTGAAGTGGTAGAAGAGTACTGAGAGAGCTTCCATGGCTTTTTCCTTCCTAACTATTTGTGGCAAAATTTATCAAATAGATAATAATGCAGTTTGATTCTGACTGTAGATGATGGCTTGACTTTCTTCTGTATTCAAACTGAGCTGAGGCAGAATGCAAGAGGATTGTGGTTGGAAATAAAGTTATATTGCACCCATGAAGCTACGTGTCCAACCTTTGAACAAAGCAGTGTCAGCAAAGGCCAAGGGGTTAGATGGCTGTGGCTACTTTTTAACTTGTCTTTAGTCATGTTCTGAAGGAATCATCCTAATCTCTCTGCTTACTGGTTGTTACTATTTACCAGGCACAGTACACTTCTGATTATTTATTATTTGAAACATTTTGGGAAAATATGAACAATTTATGTCATATAGGTGGTGAGCTCTATTTTAACCTTTTAATTTGTCACTATTCTTTTCCTTTTTCTTCCGGTTCGTTGCACTAATGCTTTAAAATGTTGACCTTCTGGAGAAATGCTTCATAGCATTGCTTAGCATTCAAAGCAGCTTAGATCTTGTTGGGATGGGTTTTCTTCTTTTTCATTAGGGCACTATTTGCCTGGAAGTGACTTGTGTTTTATTCTTCAGTTCCAGCTTCTTCATCTCATTCTCTCCTAGCACTAATCTTCTACTTCTACTTCTAAGGATGTCACTGGGACAGGCACGAGGGATGTGGTCAGAAAAATTATCTTGGTCCCAATCATATTCACATCAATAGAAACTGTTTTACCTTTACCATTGTTAGTGGAGTGAGATGGTTGTAGATGATGGCTAAATGAGGTCAGAGAACTTCCACAGCCAATTCACTGACATCCAAAATGTGGAGGGCAGAACTTCTATGCAGAGATACTGATTTACATCTGCAGAAGGAGTACTTCCACTTTGTCTTTGGGCAGAGTAGTCACACAACAAGAGGGAATGGTTTTAAACTGAAAGAGAGTAGGTTTAGATTAGATATTAGGAAAAAGTTCTTTACTGTGACGGTGGTGAGGCATTGGAACAGGTTGCCCAGAGAGACTGGGGATGCCCCATCCCTGGAAGTTTTCAAGGCCAGGCTAGATGGAGCTCTGACAGCCTGGTCTCCTGGAAGGTGTTCCTGCCCACAGCAGGGGGTTTGGAACTACATGATCTTTTAGATCGTTTCTAGCCCAGGCCATTTATGATAAGCCTTAATTTCTGAATTTCTAGGCACTGGGACTTTTTCTCATAATAATACTGCAGTATTGTTATACCTGGATTTTTTAAAAATAGATTTGCAGATACAGCAAGTAAGAGTTGTGTCTTGTAATGTCTGAGCTCAACTTTGACTTCAGTGCGTAACTGTGAAGATTTTATATGGATACTTCTGTCCAAAATATAAACCTCCTGGGTTGCTTGTGACTGCAAACTAGATCTGATGGTTTCAGTGGTTCCTTCCTGAGTTCCTGTAACTAATTTCTAATCTGGCCTTTGTCTCTTAATGTTTTTTTTTCAACTGGGAATTGCCCAGCATTGTGGATAGCTCTCTTCCATTTTTCTTTCTCAGCTGCGTGTTAGTCTATTAGTGTGTCTGCCCATTTCTGACAGTCTTCCTTTGTATGTGCCTGTACCATAGGGCTATGGAGATAGTAATGTCCCCATTAGAACAGAATAAAGAAGATGAAACCACTCCTCATTTTCTTCCACTTTCCCTTGGTGTTGCCTGCACACAGGCAGCAGATGTGTAGCCCCTTCTGCAATAGTGTTCAGCATCCCCTGCACGTGGAGTATCTCCGAAATGCCTTGTGTGGTACAGCGGTGGTGCAGACCAGGTGCTGCTGGACCCATGCTGGCTTCATGCTGGTAGGGGTCTCTCCTAACGGTGGCCTCTGAGCCACATTGAGGCAAAGCATCCTAGAAGAGCTTGTTTAGATGTTTGGCATGTGCTATTTTCACCTTCAGCTCTTATATGTGTTTCAGAAGCTCCTACCGTGAGTGTTTGTTGAAGCATCTTGTGAGCCAAAATCCAGTGCTGTTACAAAATCATCAGCAGCGCTAGTTCTGCCAGTGTCAGTGATATCAGTTGTTAGCATGTGAAGAGATGGTGTGTATTTTGTTTTCCCTATTCAAATACTGGTAGCTGCCAAAAGCAGGATATGGGACAGTGTGGTCCAGAGTGCTGTCCTGCATGGCAAACCCCACGGCTATGCCTGCCTTCTCTTTTTGAACAACGTTATTTGTTTTACTGACATAACCCATCGATTAGTACGTTGCAACCTAGTTGCTGCGATATGGGGAGAAGAGCAAGACATTACTGTGTGGAAAGGAAGCAGTCCTCTGACAGCTGTATTCCTCTTAACTCTAGTTTGGCTGTTAAATTGCAACAAGAGAAGGCCAAAGGTCACCATGCAAATATTTTGGGTTTTCTTTATCATATTTTCTGGATGCAATTTCAGGCTGATACTTCTTCAAATTCAGCAAGGAAGGCAATGTAAAGTGTTGTAAAAATGTCACCTCTTCATATTAATCATGTTGGAGTGACTAAAATCAAACAAAGCTAAACAACACACTGTGAAAGTAAACACACATGCATTTTTTTGCAAAGCTGTAAGTGATAAGTGGGGAAATGGGAATTATAGAAGGAATCCCTTTATAAGGCATAGTTTAGAACAAGTTAATAACAATTTGCTTTTAATTCAGTGCATTATCAGATTGTTTTTCATGGCGTTCAGTGGTCCTGGGTCTAAACAGAGCTTTTTGCCTCAGGTGAGGTTTTCATCAGTGAGAAGGTTTATGTTTCAGGGGCCGTGTTCAACAAGCTGCTTGTGTAACTAGGCAAACAGTTAATTTGATTGAAAATAATACCATTCCTTTTCATTATGTGCAAATGTAGGTGTTTCAATATAGTTACTTGGTTGCTCATTCAAGCACAGGCATGAGTTCAGGAGCTTGTGGAAATGTTTCCATTTAAACATACTTTTTCTTTCCCCCACCTTTCATGCAGACTTAGCAGTTGAGCCAAATAGCTAAAAATCCTCAGGGGTTTAAAGGATTAAATGAGAACAATTGTTATGGTGCAGGAAGAGCTGAAAAGTCCTGAAAATATGGCAGGAGGGAGTTGCTGAAGGACCTGGCTAGTGAACTACAGCCACCTCTGTTACAGACATAAATATAACTGGAGAGGCAGACTGGTGGGTTGATGGCAATTTGTTTGCAGGGAAATTGGAGAAAAAAAAAGAGAGACCTAGTGATGACTGACCTGAAGGTTTTCCACTAGGCTGTTTGGTGAAGGCAGTGGGAAGATGCTTTTTAGCTAAAGATTGCAAAGTTGTTTCTCCCACCAGATAACAAGGTCAGCGCTGGTTTTCATTCTCCCTTAGCTAGACTCTTGTTCCCACTGGTTCCTATGAGTAACCTTTTCCTTCACATTTTTCCTGTTTGTCTCAGGTACTGAAAGGTTCAGGCCAGAGGCTTTCCTGTACTCTCCATAGCCGCTGCCCAGTGTTGTCCTGAGGAGAAGCAGCGTCAGGAAGGCGGGTGCTGCCCTGAGGAGAAGTGGTGGGAAGGCTGCTACCCCTTGCCTACGGGGTTTCAGAGTGAGGCTCATCACAAGGCTTTCCTGTGCTGGCCACCATGGAGACCCTGTCCCAGGACTCTCTGCTGGAGTGCCAGATTTGCTTCAACTACTACAGCCCCCGCCGGCGGCCCAAGCTGCTGGACTGCAAGCACACCTGCTGCTCCGTGTGCCTGCAACAAATGAGGACCAGCCAGAAGGACCTGCGCTGCCCGTGGTGCCGCGGGATCACCAAGCTGCCTCCGGGGTACTCTGTGTCACAGCTGCCTGATGACCCCGAGGTGATCGCCGTCATCGCGATCCCCCACACCTCGGAGCACACCCCTGTCTTCATCAAACTCCCCAGCAATGGGTGCTACATGCTGCCCTTGCCCCTCTCCAAGGAGAGGGCGCTCCTGCCAGGAGACATTGGCTGCCGCCTCCTGCCTGGCAGCCAACAGAAGTCCCTGACAGTGGTGACGATCCCCACAGAGCAGCAGCCGCTGCAGGGCGGCCTTTCCGCCGAGGTGGGAGCGGAGGAGCCGGACCGGAGAGGTGCTGTGAAAAGCTCCACCTGGTCTGGGGTGTGCACTGTGATCCTGGTGGCCTGCGTCCTGGTCTTTCTCCTAGGCATCGTCCTCCACAACATGTCATGCATTTCCAAGCGCTTCACAGTGATCTCCTGCGGCTGAGGCGGGGAGGGGGCTGTGCTCCCCCGGGGGTTGGGTTGGGTTGGGTCAGTGGTGGTGGTGGTGGTGGTGTGGAGCGAGACAATTCACTGCAGCTTTCTCCAGTGACTGCAGAACACTGTGCACCGGGGCAGTGGTGTGCCGGCCCGGCTGCGGCTCCTGGCGGTGTGGTGTCAGGCCTCTCGGCAGCCCATGGAGAAAATCACGTCCTGTGTCTGGTGGCAGTGGCACTGAGGAGGACTGCATGCGTCACCATAATCATTTATCAAAGGGACTGCAACTTTACAGTGATCTTTTTTATTGTGTTATGAGATTAAAGACCTCTGTGTAGCTGGTTATACTGTGAAGTATACAGTATGGGCTCTTCTTTAAACACAGTAGATTAAAATCAAAACTGCTCCATGTAGAATTAAATGAGAACTGGCGCGCAACTGTACGAGGTGTTCAATACCAGTCCACGCATGTGTCATTTTTTAATGGGGGGAGGGAGACAGACTTGTAAAACCAAGAAATCGTTTAGCTGGTAAGGCATTTTATATGTTTTAAACTGCACATTAATTAAACCAAGTTAGGGAGTTGTAAAATAGTTTTTAAAAGGAAGCATTTTACAAGCAATCATTTCCTTCCCTGGTGTCTGTTTTTTTTGTCTCTCTGTTTTTCCCTATTGTTTTCCAACTACAGGGAAGTGGCACTTCCAGCGTCTTTTATTTGAAGGAGCTCCCAAGAAGGGAAGCAAAGTGGGCTAGCAGGAATACCTAAAAATACAGCCAAAACAGTTCTGCCTACCTGGCTTCTTACGAAGGATGGCTTTGCATGATAAACATTGGACATGCTGTTTTACTTCCAGTCTGGCAGACTTCCTGATGACCTGGCCTCCATAGCCATTAGTGAAGAAATAGATCATGAGAAGTCTTAGGACTCCTGAAAGGATGTGATAGCACATTGTTCTTAATTTTCTTTTTCTAGAGGTTGGGTTTTCTTAAATATTTGTACATAATTTAGACCTATTTTGCCTCCCTCTTTCCCAGAAGATGCAACTGTGCACCTATGAATGGTGTGACAGAGGAGTTGCTCTAAGGAAGCTTCACCATCCCAAATGATGCGATCATCTAGTAAGAGACAGTGATGAAGAGTTATCTGGGAGGAGAACCCAGACCAACCTAACCTTGTATGGGTGGGCTACCCCTCCTAAACCACTGTGGCTGTCCTGGTGTCAGAATGTCTGGGTGAGCATAATGGAGCCTATTCCCCTATTTCGGTCTTGTAAATGTTGATGTTCATAAGGACAGATTTGAAAAAAAAAACAAACCACAAGAAGTGTCTCCCTGTGAGTGTCATGACACCCCAGTGATTTGCAGTTCACTTCTTGGGAAGAGGCAAATTCCTGAATGTTCACTGCGATAGCGCCTTGCTTTAAGCAGTCCCACTAGCTTTAGTAGTACTGCTCATAAGTAAAATAGAGCTCAGTGTGAATTTGGGTATTTGCAAGTCTGAATGCTTAAATTTGTGTGAGGTTTAGGGATTGGATCAAGGGGCACATGACAGACCTTTAAGAAGACAGAAAAATCTGTTGATTTGCACTGCTGCTTTTTGCAAGTACAAAGCATAACCTTTGAAGTGTGTCCTCTTGTCATCTACCTACTGCTGTTTCTAATATTTAGAGATTGCTCAAGGCCATATTATAACACAGTTTTGACTATTCAGTGCCCAAGTTTGCCCCATAGATGTCCTTGGGTTTCTGGTTATGTCACAAAATCCAGTTGCTGGTTCACAATAAACATTCTCAGCTAAGACTTCTGTCAGGAACATACCTCTAACTACATGGTGGATTTCTTTCCTTCTCTGTTCCTAAACCGCCATTTGCTTCCTTGATTCCTGTTAACGGATGAATAGAATATACGGTGCTTAGTTGTTATGGTGTGTGTTTGGTCATGTACGGAGAGGAACCATTGTGCTGATTTTTATCTACTGTCATATGTATGCATAGCACAGCAAAAAAAAAAATCTTCAGATAACACATTCAATGCCTTTTTTTGTGCAAGGCCCAGTTGCAGTATGGCTTGAACCTGGCTTGTGAGCATTGTGATTACATGGACACCTCTCTGCAGCATGTTTCATTTGGTTGCAGTAGGGAACAGCAGGTGTTCCCAAATGTGTCTTGTGAACGTGCAAGTCTCTTGTTGCCAGTAGGTAGCCAGATTTCTACTGATATCCATGCTACGCTGCTTATTGTGTAAAGGAAAGCCAGTTCACAAAGAAATCCTGCCTTTTATAAGACTCTGGAGGAAGTGACCAGATACAGGACTCGACCCTCTACTGCCTTACTCTGTTGCAATTGCTGGGTGTACCAGGAGCATATGGCATAGGTGAAAGATGCTCCCAGAACAGCACTGATGCATTTTGCACCAGCTTCTGTATTTGGTTATGTGAGTTGTCCGTGAATACGCAAAAATGCAAGGCAATCAAAGAGCAGGTCCTGGCAATACAGTGGCGGTAACGTTGCCTCCTTCCAGCCATGCCTGCCCGACTGAAGCTCTTGAGGCCGAGGTTTGCAAAGAATGGCTGTCTTGAAAACTGCCCTCTTCATCCCTATATGGAAGGTGCAGAATGAAAGAGGAATCAGAAATTAGGTTAAAATACCACACTGCATAACACATTATACAACAGGCAGACCTGGAGTTTATCCGGTATTAATGACGTGAATATTATATTAGCAGAATACCATCCTGTACTACGTAACACAGTGCATTGTTTCGTTAATACGAACTTCCTGTACTTGTGCCTGCTGAAATGCATGTTTGACCTAATTTCTGATCCAGACATTTGCCTGCTTTCAGCCTTGTGTAAGAGCAATAAGTAAAACCTCAAGATTTTTGCCTGCGTGTATGCGCATGGTGTGTATGTTCATTCCTTTTTATAAATAGGAGTTCTGGAAAAGTTTTTGTTCTGGCTTTAGACTGTGACTATCATTTTAAATTTTCAGCTGCCATACATGTTAGATCACCTAGCTTTTTTGCTGACTTGTGTAGAAGTGAACTAAATAGTTTGTTGTAATGTACAGTATTAAAATGTTTCTCAAGTATGTCAATAGTCATACTACTTTAAAAATGCAGTGCAGTTTGTCCCATTCTTTGGTTCAATACCTGGCATTAAAAAGCGATACTGCTATTCTTTTTTTTTTAATTATTATTATTATCTTTAAAAGACAATCTTGTCTTTGTAATTTTTCCTCTATGGAGAAACGTATTTGAACTTGTGTCAAAATCATCAGGTTCCGGGTTAATTTTTGTTCTCTGGTGTCCAGTAAGAAATCACTGCCCAGTTCCACCAAAAAGAAGGATGGAAAATTACTGTGACACATACTGTTTGAGAAACCAAAACTTATTCTAAAATGTGCACCTGCATTTTTAGAGCACATTACTCTGTATGAATGTGTATTTATTTGCTTGTTTAATGGGAAGGATGTATGTGTTGGAGTCGAGCTTAAGTTTTTTTCCTGGATGGTCCCAATATCCATTGTTGACTTGTGCTTTGCTGGCAAACAGACTTTAGGGTTCACTCAGTGAAATTTTGTTTAGTGAATTTTAAAAATTCAAAATATGCAATTTTGGTATGCAGGATTTTTTTAGGAAATTGTGTGTGCAGTGATTGTTCATGCTTAACCAAGATGTAAAGGAGCCTGTATGTTTTGTAAACATGGAGCAGTCATGAGTCCAAAGTTTCATCTTTATTAATGAAGCTCAGTCTGAATAAAACATTAGCAAGAAAAGAATGATAGCAAGTGAATTATGGTGCCTCTGTTATTTTGTCATCAAATGAAGAGCATGGAAGGGAATTTGGCAGACTTGATCCATATTTTACAAGGGGGTGGCTGAAATTCAACAGTCAGCGTTTTAAGGCAAAGTATGGGTTGTGGTAAATAGTAAAAGGCCATTCATATTTTAATTATGGTGGAATATGGAATTATAGCTGATGACTACTGAGCCACAGAACTTTTCTTTTTCTGTTTTAATCAAATTCCTTAAAAATTTTAAGTAAACATTTTGCTTATGGAAGTGAGGGATTGTTGTCCTTGATTTAAGCATGTGTAGCACAGACTAGTATGCTGGTTCCCCCTTCCCCTGGAGACCCCCTTCCCAGTCACTTTATTGCTGGAGCCCTGAGCAGCCAAATTTGTTTAATAGTGCAAATGATTTTCTGGAGTAGAGAAGGCTGATGTTGCACTGGCTTTGCTACATTCACATCAGGGCTGAACCATAACCAAACAATTCTTGTGTGGTTTGAGCTCCTCTGTAGATGTCCCAGTATCAGAAGCTCCAGGCACCAGTCTATTGCGTTAATTGAGCCAAGCCTTTTTCCCTTTTCACAACAATGTCAGGTAGCAGAGGATGTTGCTTTCTTGCACTCAGAGTGAGGCTGTACCCGCTATCCACAGCTAAACGTGGAACTTGGCCTGCTGTCATGAGACACTTGCGTGAGTACTGGAGGAGGCGTCACGTATCAAGTGAACACCTGTCTAGTAAATGTTGGGGTTGAAATGCTTTATTATCCCAATTGCACAGAAAGCGTGGCTTGACATTTGATTTTTCTAGACTTTTTCTGTGGATGGATCGAGGGGGGAGGAAGGGAGGGAAGAAGGTACATGGCAGCAAATGAATCCTAGAAGCATCTGAGAGGAAGGATCTGCTGGCCCTGAAGGCAAAGGTTTTTGTGCAAGAGCTGCAGTATGACAAGATTACCAGGAAATGCTGCAATGGATTTAGAGTATGTTAGTGACCTTTCTGGTGCTGTATACTGTTCATAGGCCTGACAGCTGGGCTTGTTGTGTTCTTTCTCTTTGTCACTTTACCTCTTGCATGCTCGTGTCAACAAGCAAAGCTGCTTGCTTCAGCCTCAAGTTGAACAATTTTCAAGACATTTCTTAAACTGCCCTGAGCATCTCTAATGAAAAAAAGCAACCTTCCAAGTTCACTGAAATTTAATGCTTAATAAATGTTCAGAAAATGCATTTCCTTATGCTTAAATACATTTTTATTGTAGTTCTAAATAATTCCTATAATTTTTTGTGCTAGTGATGTTCCTGAATATCAGAGCCAATTCAAGGGAATAAAACAGCCAGAAGAAAACACTTCTTCTCCATCCCACAGTCCCCCTTCAGACTTCTGTTTTCATTCTCATCCATATCACACTGAAGCATCTAAGCACAGGGATGAAATGGGGACTTAGGAGACATACATGGAGCATCTATACATATAAGCACAGGGATGTGTTCCTATGCTCGGGGAGGGCATACACATAGCACATGCTCACATGTAGTCGAGAGAGATCAATAGGATTGGTGAAAGAGCCTCAGGCTCTTCCATCTCAGGAAAGTCATGTACTTTATGGTACTGGGATGATGAGGTGCTGAGATAGCTTGGAAACATGAAGCCACAGTTCCACTGTCTGAATTTCATGTGGGATGAGTTGCCATCCCCTCTGAGCTGTCTCCTGCAAACTGACTCCTACTGCTGTTGGATGGAACTCAACTGCTCCACAGTTGACATCTCATCTGGAGTTCAGGTGAGGAGCCACACATTCCTCTCTGCTTCTGGGCTGGGATATCCACCCAGAAGGGAAGAGCCAGGTACCTAGGCTTTTAATTTATCAGGGGTTTGTAAGTCCAGATGGAGGTCTTTTGAAGCACAACTGCATAGAGCACTCCTGAAAGCTTGAAGGCAATATACAAACTTGGCCTAACTGGTTTGAAAGAGTGATGAAAGTGTGGAGAAGGAAAGGACAGCTGAAAATGAGCAAAAGATTAGACAGTAGCCTGGAAATTCAGATCTGTATGTGCAAAAACATCTACTGGGCATGTTTTGCAGTGGCCTGCATATGTCATGTCTGTCAAATTGTATCTCAGGAATGGCACTGAAACTCCAGATCTTGCTTTTCCTTCAACACCTTTGAGCTGGGAAGCATCCTGTTTCAAAAATGCACTTTTCTACCTCACTGAAACACGTGATGGATGTGCAGAAATTTTTTAGGGTGCTGAATCATCACTGAAGCTCAGGACTTGGACAAAAGCTGAACTGGAATTCAGCGGGAAGAAACGGCTAAAAGGGCAAAGTCTTGAATTCTTAGTGTGTGCAGGTGTGTCACATTGTTTAAAATGAACACTTGTTTTATTTGAATGTTTATTGATTCAACGTACAAAAGCAGGTGGCTGTCTCCCAGGACAAATAATGAAGTTGACAAATTGGTAATGCCAAACAGCTAAAGACAGGACTTAGCGAACCCGTTAGATCTGAAGAAGCTGAAAACAAAAGAAGTGGCTATTTGGTGCAGTTACTACACTCAGTTAAAAGAAATAGTAGGATTAGGTTATGGGTGGTTAGGGAGCTGTAGCTTTCTGGCTTGGTTTTCAAGATTAAGTGGAAAAAAAAAAGAACTGAGAAACCTGAGTGGTTTCAGGCTGGAGGTTATTTACATTCCTATCTTGAGAATTATGAAAAGATGAGTATATTGTCACTGCACTCACTGCTCAGTTTGGGAAGTATTGTCCTATAGTGCCTGCATGCCCTGACTAGGTCTGAATCTCTGGGGTTAGTATCTGCTTGAGAGAAATCTGACTCAGGATGTGAAAAAAAAATTATATTCTGCAAGATAGTTTGAATTCAGGCTGTCATTGCAAAGTGTGTGATCTCACTTTGAAGAATTTAAGAATGGTGGTGAATCTTACAAGACTTTCAAAGCAGTTTGTCATGTGGAAGACACATGGGACTGTCCACGAGCATAAAAGGGGGCTCAGTTCCCAAGTATGGCCAATTTGCTGATTGAATTGCAAACTAATAATTTCTCGCCTAACTTTTTTTCAATAATCATTGCAGATGTTTCTTGAAGATTTGCTTAAGGAATGTATTCAAATACTTGGGACATGATTCAGAAAAAATGCTAATTGAGAAAGCACTAAAGTATTAAATCTAAGCCAAAGGACTTCAGTCACAGTCACTTTCTTGAACAGAGGTGGACTTTACATGTAGGTGTTTGTTTCTTGATACTTGGCTAGTCTGCACAATTCTTACAGAACATTCGAAATAAAAAGCTTTGCTTTGGGGAAGGCTTTATGTTGAAATTTGAAAGTGTATTGACTAGGAGAGGCTCTACACTAAGGCAGCTGTTTTCAAGCACTTGAGTCTAGAAACTTGTAAGTCCCTTTACAAAGAGTTACTGTAGCAGTAAACCTGCATTATATGGGAAAACTGTGGTTTAAGCATGTTTTAAAATGGCTTTTTTGTGGTTTCTGCTAACTCAGGTTCTTCTTCCCAAGATCCTCCCTGGCCAGTGCTTATCTCTGTTTCAGGAATGTCCTGAGAAGATATCAAGAAGTCTTCTCATTGGACCTTGTTAACCCCTTCCTTATTTGGTTGTTCCCTGCCTGATTGGTGTTTTGTAAGACCCCTTAACTTACGTGGTCCCTTTTGACCCTCCCAAGAGCTTTATAAACCCCTAACCACAATAAACTCGCTCTCTCGTCTCCTCTCCACGTCTGGGTGCTGTCTCTCCGGAGCCATGGGACCACGTGGGTGGGGGGAGGGGTGAGCACCTAACCCCTCCATGCGTCCAGGACCCTGAAGAAACCCCTGGAGCTGGAGTAACCCCTTCCCTATCCACCTCAAGCCTTCGGAAATGGAACCCCACAATGGGAGGAATGCACCCAGAAGTTACTTTCTATAACTCCTGTTTTTAATTGCTTATTGCAACTTAACTGAGGATTCTTAACGGTGGAAAAAAAAACAAACTTGCAGTTTAAACCCACACTAAAACCCACCCTAGGAATCCAGAGCAATGAGGGTTTAAAAAATTTAGGAGAAATAAATTGAATTCTAATCACTTCTTTTCTGCTATGCTAAAATGCTGAGGGATTTGCTAAACCTACAGTTTGATAAAACTGAATCCCTCCTTAATGGTTGTATTTGCTGAACCAACTCACTGCAATGGATACATAGCATGTTCTTTCCTTTCTGACCTCCCCTGGTTTAGAGAAGACAGGATTTGGACAGTTGTAGCTGGATTGAACAACATGATAAGAGTTGTAAAATGTTACCAGCAAGGAGTGTGGTTTTGTGATAAACAAAGAATTGCAACACTGAGTGTCTTTTGGCAGCCATCCAGGCGGAACAAGCGTGCAGCAACTCCAGCAAACCTCTGGGATCCAGAGAAATGTCAGGAGTAGTGCATAAATGAGGATATTTTTTTAATACCCTAGATACTGTCTGTGTTTGTTATTGCAGATGCTTGACATCCTTGGGTTGAGTTTCTTTCTTTTGTCCATTATAAAAACAAGCCTAAAAAGCACTTTGTTCTGCTTCCTTAGGAGTGTGCCATCTCCTGTTTCATCTTCAACCCTTTGTTTGGCCATCCTGTTTCCCTGCTGATTTGCAAGGAGAAACTTACCTTTGTATGTATGAGTGACAGCAAATTTCTACTGCATTTTCAGTGATGAAAATGATAACAGTGTCTCCACAGAAATAGGAATATTTCCAGAGCTCCAGAGTCTTATTTGCAATACACCTTTATCTGCCATTATTATCATAGGTCCTCTCTAAATCGGTATTTTCAATTATTTTTTCTTTACTATAACACAAATATTTTTGAAAAAAGCAGTAGCAAAACAAGAGAAAATAACTCAGAGACTAGAAATTATTTGCACAATATGATTCTTATGATAGAATCATTCATTAACAGCTTTTTTTTTTTGTTCAGGGTATCAGTGACATTAATTTTGTGATTCTACTTCCTTTGGT